TGATAAAGTCTTATTTGTATGCTACTGCTTCTACTTTAAACTTGTCGTATTTAGTTTAAGCAGGAGTGTTTTTCTGCTTAATAGAGTAAGTGTTTACCAAGTACGTTTTTATGTGGTAGAGCCACGCTGCACCTGTGTAATATGGTTGTAGCAAAATGGTTGGCTCGACCGTGGCTGAACCACGCTCTCACAAATACCAGCGTACAATGCAGTACACATCATTGATATTCTTTTGTTGACATCATTTTAATGCTGCTATTTGTAATGTTTCGTATATTGAGTGTAGAGAACCGGAGACCCTTTTTACTGGAATAGAAGCATTCCATATTAGTGCTCACGGGTTACGACGCATCTGCATTTTGATTCGTAATCGAGGATAAGTGTAGATGTCCATGGGGCACAGCATCCACTCAGCATCTCGTGGACTGTGTGCTCGTTTGTCATGCTATCTTAATATATATAAATTACGTGTCACGTTGTTTGTCCGCGATGGACTCCTAAACTACTCTTGTACTTGAAAGATAGGATACTTGAGAGATAGGATAGTTTTTTGCCCATGAGTGACCTACAATTTTTTTTTGCTAATTTAAGGATTTTTAATAGGACATGACAAAGGGTCGTCGAAAAGGGCAAAACAACGTCTGCCTGGTAAGCTAGTTTTATATAAAAAATATGTTGTATAAGCTTGAGAGTTTTTCTGCTTAAAAGAAAAACTGTTTAGGAAGCAGTACTACCTCTTTAGTTTAGAAGTCGTAAACGGGACTGCTGATAATGGAGTCCGAGGTGCAAATCCCAGGACTGGACAAAAACGGGTATTGAGTTTTTCTGTCGCGGAATTCTCAGTAGCGGCCCGGAGGCAAGGTATTTGCGGTGTTCCACCCCCGTACCTCGGAAAGCACGTAAAGCCGTAGGTCCTGAGCCTGATCTCTCCTTGGTCGTGTCGTTTTGCCGTCCCATTAGACTATGAGAGGAATAGAGAGTACCAACAGTGCAGTGAACCTATGCTTGCGCATATAATCCGACACTGTGATCCTGTTTTACTCTACTTTAATCCTATACAGATGGTTGATCTGCGTTTAGTTTGGTCACCGTGACCGAAATTCAATCTGGAGGTCGAAAATCGATATTATTATTTTTAGCAGGTTATCCGGTTAAGGCGGCGTGGGAGTACTTATTAACTTTTTTGTATCTTTGTAAGTCTACTTGGACGAAAATATTGCGTAAAGATTGCTTGGGGAGCATGAGCACCTTAGTAAAGTCACAAAGAAAAGTTAGGGCCTATGGGACATACTACGTACCTGGGCACAGACCTCCTCACATTTCTGAAAGAATTTTAAAGCAAGGAAATGTCCGCCACACTGTCCCATTACGTGTTAGTGCTCTTCAAATGTCGTAATATTTTTTTATTTCTCGAACATGCAGGTTTGCTCACGATGTTTTCCTTCACCGCCGAGTATGTGTTACCTAAATCAGCACTAAAAATTGCAATTAATAATCATTAGTGCCGGTGGGGCTAGAACGCGGGTGTTCGCGTTCTGAGATATCTACAGGGAACGCTTAGACCCTGATCTACCGCGGCTACCACGGCATTAAGCTTGTCAATCAAATTTTCACTTTTCACATTTTCACTTTATCGAACGCTTGCGCTACATCATAAAATATAGTAAAAAAAAGTTTTTTTTTTAACTTTCATTATGATTGATGTTTCTTAATGATTTTCTAAATATGGGGAAGCTATTGTTCTCACTCCGGTTTTTGAAAATCTAGCATTTATCAGATCTCGACGTTTCTAGGTCCTAGGAAACTATCCTGGTTATTTTTGCGATGCTGTCCGTATGTCTCTCTCTCTCTCTCTTTCTCTCTCTCTGTGTGTGTGTGTGTATGCGAGCGTGCGTGCGTGCGTGCATGTGTGCGTGCGTGCGTGTGTGTGTGTGTGTGTGTGTGTGTGTGTGTGTGTGTGTGTGTGTGTGTGTATGTGTGTGTGCGTGTGCGTGCGTGTGTGTGTGTGTGTGTGTGTGTGTGTGTGTGTGTGTGTGTGTGTGTGTGTGCGTGTGTGTGCGTGCATGCATGTGTGTGTGCGTGTGTGTGTGTGTGTGTGTGTGTGTGTGTGTGTGTGTGTATGTGTGTGCGTGTGCGTGCTTGTGTGCGTGCGTGCGTGCGTGCGTGCGTGCGTGTGTGTGTATGTGCGTGCGTGTGTTCGTGCCTGCGTGCGTGTGTTCGTGCGTGCGTGAGTGCGATTGTGCGTGTGTGTGTGCTTGCGTGCAAGCTTACGAGCGTGCGTGCGTGTGTGCGTCCGTGCGTGCGTGTAAGTGTGTGTGCGTGCGTGCGTGCGTGCGTGCGTGCGTGCGTGCGTGTGTGGCGTGCGTGCGCGTGCGTGCTTGCGTGCGTGTGTGCGTGCGTGCGTGCGGTGCGTGCGTGCGTGCGTGCGTGCGTGCGTGTGTGTGTGTGTGTGTGTGTGTGTGTGTGTGTGTGTGTGTGTGTGTGTGTTACAGTTAATATATTATAGGATTATTAGATTTTTTTTATTTACTTTTAGATTATAGGGTAGGAGAATTTATTTATTACATTATAGAATTATTAGGAGGATTAGGATATATTCACAGTTAATATATTATAGGAAGCCGTATGCCCCCACACAGCGCCACCCGATTTTTTTTACTGGATACGAGGCATTGTACTCATGTTGCATTGTATTCTTAGTACTCAGTTGTGATAACGCATTTTGATTCTTAATCAAGAATAACTTGTGGTCTAAACAAAAGTCAGGTTTTACTTAATTACAAAAAGATTTTATTGTATTTTGATAACAAAGAAATACCAAGCGGATGTCGGCAGCGTGAAAATCACAATTATTTGTGTATATTACTCTAAATTATTTACGTAAAAATATAAATTATATTCACACAAAAAATTTATAACAATTTTATGATAAAACACTATAGAAAAATACTAATAAAACACAAAAAAAATCCAAAAATCAACACAACAAACGGCGTACGTAATGAACGTAGAATATAAATTAATATCCATAGACTAACTGTTTTTTTATTCCACTAGAGGTTAGAAAAATTCATATTGATTCTATATTGCCAAACTTCTTCATAGAAAGGTAGTCTCTAAATACAAGTTTTTATGGGTTAAAGTGCTGTGGGTGGGTGCGGTCATATTTGACCGCTTGAATTTTGACCGAATATCAAAGCGGTAAAATTTGGCCGCTTGCTGTTTTAGAGGATAAATGTAGATGGCTATGGGCTGCAGCATCCACTTACCATCTTGTGGACTGTGTGCTCGTGTGCACCCTTATCATAGACTGCGGACTTCTTGGAGCATATAGTTAGTTAAGATGTAAGACTACATTTTGTTAAAATCCTTAAGAGGTAAGGGTCTTTGGCATTCATTTTATTTCACGTTTCTTTAATCTGAGTCTGGTGCTGATAATAAATCTAAATATGCAGGAATTTTTTGTTACGTTTGTTTTGTTGTAGAATTTCAACGCTTTACAAGTGCCTAGATAATCCAAACGTTTAGAACCACATCAATCATGCACGGAAATTATTTGTATGCAATCGAAACATTCAAAGAGCGTCACGAGAACGCAAATAATAACGCGTCGCTACTGCATTATGTATCTTACCAGTATTTACATCGGTATCAGAGTGCTGATATATACTGTAATCATTCGAATAAATCAGCTCGACGTTGTTTATATAAAATGTCGAATGAGTATATATATACAAAGACCCCATCGATGACAATTACCTGACGTATCCGTAGAGGAATATATTTATATATTCTTTTAATTATTTTTTATAATTATTGTAAAATGTTTTTAAAAATGAATTGGCATTTTTAAATATAACGAAATATGTAGGTACATTGCATTCAATTGTAAACGTTTCACTGATACATATGAGTCTCACATTGTTAAGATTTTTTTACGCAAAAAAGGTTATCCGGACAAAATTTCAATAGGTTTATAAAATAAAACAGTCTATACTTGACGCGCTGTGCCTGAACGACCGAGCTAAACAACCGAGAGAAGCAACCATAGATTACTGTGTATAGAAGCAACACTGAATATACCCATAGTAAATTGACTAAATCATAATTCCGTATTCTCTGTGTTCTATTTCCTCCTACAAAACTGTAGCGATTTAAATTTTTTGAAGGTACAATTTTATTGTGGCTATGTCTAAATGTTTTATGTTTTTATCACCGTGACTGTTGATAATGTATGTAAAACGCCTCCAGGATACAGATTTTTTTCTCCTATATCATGGGGACAGTTTAAATACATAAATTTCACAAGGACAAAAATCCAGACCCGGTACAATTATTTGTAGGCCATATAATAGGTACTAGTTCCGGGCGGGATTCGAACCTGCGGACCTTAGCGCGGCAACTCATTAATCAACACCATAGTTGGACATTGGTTTTACAACAACGTGTCAGATGGCAAGTATTTGTGGGATTTGAGTTCAGCACTGTTGAATGGTACACAGCAGAATTGGCTATTATTTGAAAAAGTTGACACCATTTACACTTTTTTGTTTTATATTTCGCATGCTAATCCTAAGCCAATTTTGGAATGTTTTATAAAATAATGGTGGTAGACGAGCGCACAATTCATGTGATGATAAGTGTATGCTGTGGCCCATAGACACTTACATCTATTCTCGATTAAGAATCAAAATGTAGACGCGTTGTCATCCCTTTAATCTCAGTCTACTCAGTCCCCAGTTCTCTACAAAAAGAAATAGCAGCATTAAGCTGCTATTTTAGGATAGTATTCTGTTAAAGCGTGTTCCTTCCCCGATCGTGCCGATCCAATTGTGCTTCTACTATGGTTAATATCGCTGCAGCGTGGCTCTTCCACTTAAAATAAGTGTTTGTGGAAGTACCTCTCCTATCTAAGAGGTTTTCCGGTCTGTTAAATCCCCCCCTCCTTCCCCCTGATGTGGGCGTGTTGGTGTTAAACTGACGTGGTGGTACGTGTACAGGTGTCGGGGGCGCAGCGCGGGCGCGAGCGGCATGCGGCCCCGGCGGCAGACGCCCATGGAGGTCGGCTAGCGGCGCGCGCGCATCCCCCGCGCCCGCGTCCCCCGCACCGCCCCGCTGCCGCCATGGACCTCGCCGACGTGCCTCGACATCGACCCCTCGCCTTCGATAAAGTAAGTCACCATTTTTTTATATTTTAAATCTCTAATAGTGAACACACACAAATCTTAAGACCCGTTTATCCAACGGGCCGTGAATGATTATTCGCCGCAGTAAGCAGCATCACTCGGATAGCAGATGTTCATGTTATGTGTACTCATTTTTTGTTTTCTAACAATGTTCCATTTTTTCTTACGGTCTTGCAAACCGCGAAAGTTGGTCGTAAAATATTGAATACGATTAATATATTGGTGAAAACATGTTTGCAAACTCGAGACCATACTAAACAAAGTTATCAAGTGCGCAGGAGGTGCTAAAAGTCGTCATACAAACAAGGAAGTCCTTCATCGCATTCAATAAAAAATTAAATAATTATTAAATATATATCTTAGCTATTTAACCGAATCTACACATAGCTTTATAGTTTTGCGTAATAATGTGGTAAAGTTTTCTTACGATAGATAGTAAAGTAAATACTAAAGTTGCAGCATAATTATATACACCCCTCTGCTGGGTACAGGTTTTCCTACCATTTCTATGAGGGTTATGAGGAGGAATTAGTACGGCGCGCTGTGTGGGTGGACTACACTATTCTACGAAATATTCTTCGAATGATTTTGGTGCTACCAATTATTTATTATGTGTTGCTGGCGGGAATCAAACCTGGACTGCTGTAACGGCAGATTGCAAAGGAAAAGCTACCTCTTGTTTACCTAATAAACAATTTTTTCATTTTCTTTTTAAATTTGATTTACATGCAATTTTTGTATTAGATTAACGCCGAATAATTACTTATAGATTTTATACTTTCGTATTTCCTATGCTGACCACTAAATCAAGATGAATAGCTGTTGCAAATTTTATAAAACTAATTGGTTTTAATTTTTTTGCTTTGTGGTTTAAATAAATATGAAACTCTCCTTGAAATTAAGTAAAATGTTATAAACATGCACAATATAAAAATTATTTAGCTATTACAATTTTTGATAATTCTGGAATGAAACCTGTTTGGTCCTGTTATCCAATTCTGCGGAAATTTCAATAATGAATCTTGATATTCTCATTCAATAGATTTTTTTACAAAATCAATGATGCCTGCACGGCGCAACGAGTTTGATTCTGAGTCACGTGCTCTTGATGTCAAAATTTTATCGAACCATCATGATGTACTTTGTCATTTTCATCGTCCTGTTAAAGCTCTCACACATTCTGAAAAATTGCCGTAATCGTTACGCTTATCTCGCCTTGAATTAAGCGATCGCAACCTTTCACACCGGTGATGGAGCACAGCGTCTAATTGCATACTCGGCGGTATTTTCTGTCAGTAATCTGATTTTTTTGAATCCGATAAATCATTTCATAGTTATTGTTTAGCATATTTTAAGATTTTAACTTTTACCTCAGTTGCCTCATATATCATCCACGGGAAAATACGGGACGATTAATATTCAGTAGATAATTATTGACCAAGAGGATTTTTTTATAAGATACGATGACAAACGAGCACACAGCCCACCTGATAGTAAGTGGTTTCTGTGGCCCATAGATATCTACATCTATCCTCCATTACGAATCAAAATGCAGATGCGTTATTATCCGTGAGGACTTAGGTGGAATGCCTCGTTTCCAGTAAGAAGGGTCTCCGGTTCTCTACACTCACCATACGAAACACAGCAGCATTAAACTACTATTTGACGCTGGTATTCTGTGAGAGTGTGGTCCTACCCTGGTCGAGCCGACCCATTCGTGCTACAACTATACTACTAATACGACTAAGATTATAACGTAAGGAAATTATAACATTATCCAAATACAACATTTTATCCAAATTGATAGAGCCGTTATCGAGAAACCAATTACATACCTATACAAAAATTACACACCTATATTAGGATACGTATGTATGCGTCTACAAAGCAAGAAAGTACTCTTAAAAATCCTTTAGTTAAAGAGGAAAAAATGTTTTCTTAAAGGCTATTTGCTTACCATGTCTCAACTTCAAACTAAGCGAATTATTGTAAAAACTCTTGCCCTAGAAAGCTTGTAAATACTCTTAGGCTAAAACTCTTTTGCGGCTTGTCTTTTCTTAATTATTTTAAAATGTTTTCGTCTACGAAAACAACCAAACAGATGAAAGATAATATAAACAGTATACTTGTATATTGCAATCTTTTCATAATATATCTCAAATGTAAAACAATCAAATAGGAAATAGATACGATTTCCGTATCACTGTTAGAATGTCCATTGTGATTGATGAACATCTTAAGGGGAAATATAACCTCAAATGGCTTAGCAAGAACCTCCGTTATGCCGAAAATATTGCAGCATTAATTTTGAAATAAATATATGGTAGAGTTGAGGATTAATGTTAAGGACTATTTTAGACGAAAACACGATTCCGTAAAATTTTCTCGATAGAAAGAAAATCCAAAGTTACCTCCAAACTGAACAATAAACCGCTGTTATTCATAAAATACTTTAAATAAGATCATGAAACTTTGCATACTAACTGAACTAACTATAAAGCAGTGCTTATGTTATTAACTTTTTAAAATATCATTATTTTCACTGTAAAAAGAAATTACCTAAACTATCGGCGTCTTGAAGCTTGATTCCGGTCGCCCCGTTAGCCGTTAGTATCGGTAAGGCTTTTGAAGGGAGAAGTTGTGTCGCTTACGATCAGAATAGACATTACGCAACAGGACGACGTAAAATTAAAATGGGAAATAATACCGTGATAAAAATAAGAAGCGACTGGGTTGGCGTTAAGAAACAGGCATAAATATGATAAACCTAATGAAATAAGCGTCTAACGACCTTTCTACTTACAGTATCATTGATTACAAACATGTCGCTACATAGCATACAACGCGCGGGGAAGTGGGGGCGAAATTAGAATTTGAGCTGACTTACTATATCCCCTTAAATGGAGGTTATATTTTCTTAATAATATGACGGTATTATATTTTATGAAACACCTAAACAACATTATGAAGCATTTACTGGCGCAATTAAGTGAAGTGTTTTCAGAAATAAAAATTAATCTATAAATAATTTTGCTGTTGGATATTATTTGATCTCTCTGAAGATAGACGAATTAATAGTAGAAACAGTAACAGTTATGGGAAATCAGTATAGTTATAGTAAGACGTTTCAGCTTAGTTCTCAAAGGTGATAAAAGCAACCGTAGCTTTGTAACCATGGGATGTAGTAGCTTCCCATTACATTGTCCATTAGCTCTTTTGTTACTTAAATGTTTAAAAAAATAGATTATCGGGACAAACGTAGTCAGCAGCTGGATTGGCAAATAAATGTCCGGTCATTTTATTGTCAACTTTTACCACGGGCCGTAAAAATTTAGAAGTTAAATAAAGTAAACGCTGACCTTTCTCGGAATATTATCAAGACTTCTAACTTAGATGGCGACCCAAACTTTCACCTTTGTTCAGCGACGTTGTGTCGTAAAATTTTAATACATGTTAGTAAAACATGCCAGAATTGATGACGGGCTTGCGCGGTGGCTAAGCGCTGTGCGGCGGCGTTTGAGTCGCGGTTTATAATCCCGCATGGTTTATACGGCCTAAATAATTGATTTAGATTTAGTGATTGCACATGTGCAATATATGCATACCGAGGTTGAAATTGGGTGATCAATTTTTTTAACTGCTAATGAAACGTTATGAATAAGCAATCTATGCACTATTTCTGTTCCGAATAATGAGTGAATAAATCAAAATATTGGGTGCGTTTGGCAGAAAAAAGCGCTTGTAAGCAAAATGGCGATCGTAAGCGGTAAGCGCTGTCAAATCGTAAGTAGCTATTTTCCTCCAGGACACGATGTTAGTTTTAACCGGGGAACCTAGCCCAATTTAAATATATGTTTGTAAAGTATTCATATTAAAAACTTACCAATCATGAATTTTTAATAGCATGTATATGTCTATTCATGTCATATTACTTAAAACTAATACTGCACAAAACAATTTATAATTTCTACTTCAAAACAAACAAATTAAATAAGCAAAATGGCGGATTGTGTCAGCGCTACTGAAGTAGCAATCGTGTCCTGGCCGAAAACTATTTTAGTGCTTGTAAGCGCTTGCTAGCGCTTTTTTCAATAATCTTTGGCCTTACATAAATTCGTTCATTATCGCTATCGATATCTGTCTCTTTTTACTGTCATGAAGTGAAGAGAGAGAGAGAGAGAGAGCAACTTTAAGCATTTCTTAATTCAATCAGCCCCTGTATTTGCTTCAAACGTCGATCCATGATTTTATTTTATTAGCAAAAAGGTGGACTCCAGATAAGTGTCCGTTGCGATGACGTGTTGTGTCGGCCTTGTATTTGCTTGTATTGCCTAATCCGCATTGATAGTTCGCGGAGCACGTGAGCGAGAAATGCCTGCGATCACGACACCAATAGGGTGCGTCATACACAATATCGTATGACTCAATTTTTTGCAGTTCATATCTAATTCATATAAAATACGAATCATCACATTACGTCATCTAATGTTTCAATATTTTTCTAAAACATAAGTTAGCAAATATGAAATAAAAATCGGATCTGAAAGAGAGAAGAACTAAGGTTTCGATGTAAAGTTTTTAAATAAACGTACCTATTGTTAAAGATCTGTGTGAAGAAGCGTCTATCTCCTCTACAGAACAAATTATAAGCGGTTTATAATGCAAGGGCTTACAAACCATCCGAGTAATTTTGTTTTTACAGAAATATTTTATTTTCTGGACCTTGTAATTCCATGCTTCTTAAATAATTGCAATTTCGGAAATACGTCTTGATACCAAAACAGAAAAACAATTTTAAATCGTCGCTGTATAATACATATATAAGTAAAGCAACATGGGCCACCGGCGAACTGGAGGAGAGTAGCCACTACTATAGGTGTTCCCCTCTGTCTAAGTATTAGTCCACGCGGTCCTATGCTTACAATAAAACTAGTTGCCGCCGCACTCCTCACGAAGCTAAATCTAGTTGCGCGGCTGAATCGACA